CCCCCCCCCCCCCCCCGCCCCTCCAAAACCCACATTAGTATATACAAACCAAGTCGGTGTAAGGCCAACAACCGCCCATATAAGGCCCAGGTTAGTGCACCGGGCCCTTGGCGCAACTTTGTGGGCCAATCTCGGTTCCCAGGCTTGGGGCCATTGTAAAGTAACACGGGGATGTGTTACTTAACACGGTCCCTTACGGTTTACGGTTTAGGGTACACGGTTCCTTGGAACCAAGAACGAAGATTCCCAGGAAAGTCTTCGGACAGCATCTTCGTTCCGGCGCTTGGGCCAGAACCCGTGTTAATTAAGACGGGCCGTCTTAATTCACACGGTCCCCCTGGAACCAAGAACCAAGATTTGTGTTTATTAAGGTGTAGGTTTAGGGCTAGGGCTTTGGGTCAAAAGCTTGTCAGATGAAAACCCTATAACTTCCAGAAACTCCCAACACCGTTTTTTTGCACAGGCTTCATTGGAGATCGCCCAGACAAGTGACAACCTAAACCCTCAAAGCCCCTTGGTTTGAGCAGGGATTGCAATGTCCAGTGCACTAAAACCCTAAACAACCTAAACCCTNNNCCTAAACCCTAAACCCTCAAAGCCTTTACCAAACCCTCAAGGTCCTAAAAAGTATAGGCCCTAAACCCTAAACCCTCAAAGCCTTTACACAAAAGGCCTTAAGTCCTAAACCCTCAAAGCCTTTACAAAAAAAAGCCTTAAGCCTCAGCTCACTTTACCAAAGAAGGCCTAAGTCTCAGCTCATTGTTTTTTTCAGGGCTCCTTATTATGATTATCGTATACCATACCCCGAAGCCCTAAACCCTAAATCCTAAACCCGAAGTAGGAGGCAAATAAAACCCTGAACACCCAAAACCCCAAACCCTAAACCCCAAAGCGCTATTCTGGTTATTACAGCTCAGAAGCTCCTCTGCCCGCCGAAGGGCCATGGCTAGCTGTAGGGCCTCCGAAATCACAGGGAAGCGAATCAGGTTTGAGCTTAGGTCAGAGCCACGGTTTAGGGTTTCGGGGCTCTGGGTGTTCAGGGTTTTATGTGCCTCCTACTTTGGGTTTAGGATTTAGGGTTTAGGGTTTAGGGTTTAGGGTTCAGGGTTTAGGGTTTAGGGTTCATGGTTCGGGGCTTAGGGTTTACATGTGTGTATATGTATATGTTGCTACATATCAACCCGATACTTTACATGGTTGTAAAGTAGCGTGTATTCCGATTTTGCTTCTTGGGTCTCGCCAGTCTCGCGCTTGATGTTATTAGGCGAGGTTGCAGGGCCCAACAGACACGACTGGCAAACGCACTGCCGCTCCAAGTGTTCCGTTCAACTGACTTCGGCACCTACTCAGCAAGCTCTCTAATTCCATCATCCCTACACCCTATAAACCCTCACCCTAAACCGTAAATCTGCCATGATCAGGCAGGTGTGCAACAAGAACGAGAGAAAGAGAGAGAGAGAGAGAGAGCGGAAACAACAATGGAGGGTGAGGCTTTGGGCTTTGCGGTCTGGGGTTTCTCTGTTTATAAGGTTGTCAATGTGTTTTATGAGAGTTGAGGCTTCATATGCGTATAGGGTTTAGGGTAAAAAGCTTTTGATTCGGGGTCAGGGGCGTTGATTGCGGGTAAGCCGGGTTAGGGGCCACGAGGATTCGGCTTTGTGGTTCATTACCGATGCTGGAGGTTTCACAATGCCAGAGTCGCTTTAGTGTAACTAAACGCGGACGAACATTTCCGCCTCGCGCTGCTCAAGTTTAGGGTTCACTTCTGCTGGAGGTTAAGGCTTCCTGAACACTCTTGCGTGCACGGAGTTTTGATCCGGCTGAGGAGCAAAAACGAATAAGAAGATGAACATATGCTAACTACTTCAAGGAGGGAAGCTTCTTGGTCTAAAGCTTAGCTTCCCTGCAGCGCTCGAGCAGCAGCGCCATCTATGCGTGGACCTGACCTAACCTAGAATCAAGTTTTTGGGGCGTCTGGGGCCTGGAGGAATCAGAGGGGCCCGCTTCGATTCGAAGGCTTACAGGCTTAGGGCTTTGGATTTCGGGTTGCGACTGCGACTCGCGCAGCCGATCGACTCTTGCATCCATATCCCAAATCTCTTGAACCCCGGAACTAACTATAATATACTATAAGGTATGCGATCATATATTATAACATACTAGAATTTGCAATCATATATACTCTATATATATATGTGTGTGTGCTATAATATGCTAGAATGTACTATATTACAATACCCTGAACTCGAGCCCTAAACCCTAAACCCTAAACCCTAAACCCTAAAGAATCCAACTGCTCGCTGCGCCGGACCAGCCTCGAGAGCGCCGAGGCTTCCGCCTCGGAACCTCAGCAGACCAGGTCCCCAGGTTGGGAAACGGGGCTTTAGGGGTTTAGGGTTTAGGGTTTAGGGTTTAGGGTTTAGGGTTTAGGGGTTAGGGTTTAGGATTTAGGGTTTAGGGTTTAGGATTTAGGGTTTAGGGTTTTTAGGGTTTGGGCTTTAGGGTTTAGGCTTTAGGGTTTAGGGTTCAGGTTTAGGATTTAGGGTGAAGGTTTAGGGTTTAGGGTGCACTCTCACTCTGGCACACAGCAGGCAAGGTTGGAGGTTTGGGGTTGGCACTAGACTGGATCCCAAAACATCCGGATGGGTGGCGTCTTCGCCTCGTATATAAGATCAACCACTGGAGTCACTAGAGAAGAGGTGCTGAAGGGAAGACCGAATGCTGTTGCGAAGTGAAGAGACAGGAGCACTCAAGCCGGAAATCCCATCATTGAGGTCTCCCCTCAATCGCTTCCCCGAGCCTTGTTTGCAGCCCTGAAATCCTGATGCTAGCTCTCCGTTACTTCGCTGGAAATTGAATCCTGACATCAAGGCCATTCAAGACAACAAGCTAATCCGAGCCCTCATCTGCGAAATCCGATCCTTGAGCAGTCATCTCTTAGAGCCTCCAGCTACCTAAGCATCACCTACTCTGTGTTTAATCCATTACCAAAGTGATCTCGAAACTCGTGACATCATGCGCACGGCCTCTGCAAGGTCGTGAAGCATGCGCTCGCCACCGCCTCATCCCCTCAGCACCAAGCCCAAGCCGACCCTAACGGCCCTATATAGTAGGTAATTGGGGGGTTAGGGCGAACTTAGGCTTCCGTTAAGGGGGGTTCAAGAGTGCCTGCTTATCGAGCCACCTCCAAAGTTCCGGAGAAGTCATACTCTAAGCTCCAAGAGTCGCACCGTTGCATGAATACACTGGGATGAGCAACAAAGAGCTTGATTGCATAGTGAGCTGCTAGCAGTGGTGTTTGTGCTGCTACTGCTCGTAGTCGTGTCGATGGCACTCGCCACCGCAGACGAAGTGGAAATGCAGCTAAACACCGAATCGCTAAACTCTTCCGGTGCGTGATGTCACGTTTGATCCCAAGCTGCAAAGTCCCGCAATTTCTTTTTGAGTTTTTACCTGCTCCGGGATCATGTGGCCATCTGCAAACAAACATCTGTTGTCGTGGCAACCTGGACCTTGACCCAATACAAATGGAAGCCTGAACGACTGTGAAAACAAGCGCCGATTTACACGCGCAATGAACCACTTATGGGCACCTAGGCTCAGATGCATGCAACAACATGCTCTTGCGTGTGTGCGCATATGTATCTGCAAACGGGTACGCATCCACAATCAAACTTGTACAGCTGATCGGTGAATACATGGACATTGACGTATCGATGGGTGCACGTGCACCTGTATGCATAAAAACGATGAAGATGAAGAACTGGACAGAAAGCAATGCATTCAGTAGGGGAACAAACAAACGCATGAACCAATAGCGTGACGTATTTATACACCACAGTCTCTCAAGGAAAACCAGGGGTTTCGGAATTTCACAGCCAACCCGCCAAGTCAATTCACATGAGATCTCCCTATACTCTTGTGTAACTAACACAAAACAAGTTCTAATACGGCCGTAACCCATCAAGGAAAACCAATGCCTAAGCCCTATCTAATAGGAAAACCATTGTCTAAAAGGGAAACCCTAACTAATCGGAACACCATTGTGAAATGGAGGGAGCGGGCAAACGTTCCTATAGATACTATCCATCTATCTATCCATCCATCTATCTATTTTCCAACTCTCTCCGACGCCCACACGCAGAAGGTCAGGGCACTAGCACACAACCTCGAAACCCAGCCCGAACAGCACACACTGATGGCCACGGCTCTTGGATACATGCTTCAAGATATCTATATTATATATGCATATATATATATATATACATATCATGTGATGCATTCGAAGCAGCATGTCGTCACGCTGGGTCCAACTGCCCGCACGGCTATGCGATCAGCATCCTCTGGCGGCGGAGGTTGGAAGGCGTAGCTAGTAGCTACCATTTCTGTCAAAGCCAGATGTCGGGTCTTGCAATGCCACGTATGTTGGCTAAGTCCTTGTCCTGCCACGACTTCGCACCGATCAGATGGCAAACTTGTGCTCTCGAAGGGCTTTCCAGAGTCAAAGGTGCGAGCATACAAGTACATTCGATGCAGGTTTCGTCTCGAGAATGCTCGATTATCTGGCATGGAGTAGGCAAGGCCATCTGCATTCTCTGTCGAGGGGCAGTGCTGTCAAAGCGGATGACCACTGACAAATCCTCCAGAGTTGGAGAGCCAGGAAGCACATATGTTGACAATAAAACATAGTAAAAATTCATAATATGAACACTGATAATGAATAAGCAATACTACACAACATAACATATGGTATTATACACTGTTATATTAAGGTACATGAAAATATATTATGTTGTACTATAGTACGAGTATATTTATCTTATACAATTCTATATTATATCATGAGGTATACATTACGCGATGTTACATGATACTATATTGACATGTTAGTTATATTACTACTGTATTGTCTTAAACTGTTACTATCTCACATCATACCGTCTTATATGATATAAAACTATATGGTCTTGTATAAGTGATAATATAGTTATTATGTTATGCTATGTTAAAATATATTACATTATAATGTATGATATGTTACTTTGTTTTTCTCTAAGCCATATGACAGTATTATGCTATGTTATCGTATAGCGTCTTCTTACTATTCATATTACCTTTACATTTAAGTATCGCAAAAGATATTATATAATACTGCGCTATACTGCATTAACCAGAATGGAATGCAATAGCAACGGATAGATTACACCTTTCCAATCTAGTCTAACATACCAACCTGAATAAACCGAATAAAAACCGTGTAAGCTCCGAACATAGATTCTAAATCTTGTTGCAGCCGGGTGAAACCTGACACCCTAACCCGCAATGGGACGATGAGACTCAAGGCTTCCGATCTTAGCACAGTCTGGCCTGCAGGACTTCATTCTGCGGTGTGGGGTTTTGGTGTATACTAATCAAATTATGTCGATAAGGAGGCCGAAGGAGCAGTATTACGAATGGTTCAAGGCCCCGACAAGAAGGGTGAAGCGCCAAACAAAGCCCTTGTGCTCAACCCCGCGCCCTAAACCTTGGTGAGAAGACGTCCGTCCTCCACGACGATCACACATCGGTCTGCATGAGTTTCTATAGACTCCTCGCGGAGTGGATGCCCGAAACTGGGACCCTAGAAGCCGTGGCTCGCAGAGGCTCATCAAAGCCCACGGCTTCGGTAAAGTGATTCTGTCGAATTTCTCTGGGGTCTATGCGCTTCGACAAGGTCCGTGTTGTTTGTTTAGAGTGCTCTGTTCCCGTAAGGCCTCATCACAAAACCCCACACTCTAGACCACGGTCGGTCCAAAAGGAACCTGCCATACAGAAGGCCCCACCAGAAGCCGTGACGAGCAGTACTGGTGCCACAAGGTTCAGTATTGTACAATCACTCGCTTTGCCGTCATCGTGGTTGGTCCCCGGATGCTCCGGGACGAAGGGATGCGCTGGTCGCTCGGACGCCATCATGTGTGGGCCATGAATGCTCTGGGGCGAGTTGTCCCGAACATGTTGCTTAGGTGCGTCGAAGGTAAACAGTGCAGAAAGAATGCCCCGAAGACAAATGCTATTTATGCTACTGAGTTCGTAGGGATATGGAAACGGTCGGAAGTGGAGAAACACCAGCGCTTGCGAGGGTTTCTGAAGCAAGACGGGCTACACAATATGCAGCTTACGCCTTCTTTTGAACAACGAAGCCCTAAGAATCAGAAGCCTGCAAACCAGCACCCCCCAAGCCCTATCAGCAATCTGTGGTACTTCGCACAGATTTGCACGCATCCACACATGCATGCATGCATGCATGCTGACATGCTGATCTGCAGACAGACAGGCAAATAGACAAACATGGATGCATGCATGCATGCATGCATGCATGCATGCATGCATGCATGCATGCATGCATGCAGATATGAACATACACAGGTTTAACCGTTTAACAATACAGCATCATGACATCATTACATGGTTGTACGTATTGCTCATTTGCCTATATCGTGATTTGAGAAAACGTCTATCTCCGTTCTCCTGCACTAGTATACAGTTCTTCCTCCGCCCCTTGATGTGTGTGTGTGTGTGTGTGTGTGTCAAGTTCTGTTCCCACCTACCCTGCACGCCATGCACACACTGAACCCTGAACCAGGCCAGGTCCAAAATCCCCATTTACGTTTAGGGTTTACAATTGAGGGTTTTCGACTGCGGGCTCAGGGTTCAGGGTTTGGACTCTCATGTGTCTGGCGATTATTGTACGAAGCCTCATGCACACCGGCAGGCGCCTTACTGAGAGACCGTGTGCCCAGTTATGGCAAGTCGACGCTTGTCCAGTATAGCAGTATACACGTGTATATAGATATATATATATATATAAACAGTACTAAGTACTATAGAATCCAGTATAAAGAGATTCTAGCACGTGAACAGCTTCTACAACTCCAGAATGCTTCAATCTCCTGAAGCCTCTCAAACCCGAAGCTCAAAGTCTGCGACGCCCGAACAAAAGCACCTTGCCGTAGAGCGCTTCGATCGCCTCCAAATCTGATTGCAGCGCAGCATCTTGGCGACCTGGTTCCGACTCTCGGGCTTTAGGGTTTAGGGTGCAGGAGCATACTTCATTCGTGTTAGAGTCCGATGCTGCCGTAAAATCCCGGCGTTTGGCTTTTGTATAGGACTCATCGTCCTCCCCAGTAGCATTTGCGGGTCAGGCTCTTGCTAAGGACTTCCGGCGCAACTCGTGCCGTCAAACTCAAACTCTCCACGTAACTACAGCAGCCAACCTCAGGGTATCTGCGAGCGAGCAGCACTACAGTGAATTACGAAAGGCTTTGAACTCTTGAAAGGCGAGAGGACCCCACACTTCTCATACCGACAGCGACCAGTCAACTGAACCCAAGACAAGGCGAAAACGATACCTGGTCTCACGAAATCTGCAATATGGTCCATATGGGAACATCCTCAGACATTCCAGCAGGCACAGACAGGACACACAACAGCATGGAAGCAGCTCTGAGTCTGAGGAGACCTGGAGATCTAGATGATGTCGTAGACAAGCAGCAGATGGGAGACCACTGCGAGGGTGGTGTCTCCACCAACGGGGGTGGCAACTCCCTTGGCTGCCCAGCTTACAGAAAACTTTCTAACACTGCGCGAGGTCTTTGCATGGTCTAGAGCTTCAACGTCTTCATCATATAACAACCTCACATGTGTGGCGACGGGCTGACAAGCCATGGATCAAAGCCGGCGGTCTGGCGCACCCCAAACCCTAACCCTGATGCCTTCCGCAGAGTCTTCGAGACCCACTTACTGAAGCTCGGGACTGTTTAGCCCACTGTTGGGTTCCGGTAGCAGGGCCCCAAAAAGGTCATTGAGTCATAGCATGTGGTTTCTTCTTCTAATCCTCATAGAGGGGCTTCTCACAATCCGTTCCAAGTAAGATCTTGCAACGGGGCCTGTTGTAATCCTTATTGAAGGACTCAGTCGCAGTATGAGCCGTTTCAAGGGAGGGGTTTCCTTCATCATGGTTCTACTACTGTAAGTACAGTTTGGCCATCCGAGGCACAGCAAGCGGTCGATGACGGTCACCTGTTGCATGGAACACCCTAAACTGTACTTTGAAACTACACCCTTGTTGTTCGGAGGGAATGGGGAAATGACTATCATAAGGGACTTCAGGGTTCATCCCCTGCCTCCCTACTAAGAACCAAGGTGCCCATAAAGCCTTGGATACGCTTTGCGCATCTTTGCTTGACAGTAGAAAGCCCAAGGGACTACCTAAACGCAACTGTTTTCGTGAGATGATTCCACAAGTATTCACTCGCCGAAAACCCAACATTTCCAAACTACTGAAGCCCACTTTCAGAGCACGGCTCTTCCAGAAAGGAAAACATCAGAATCCCAAGCCCTGCGGGAATACATAAAGTTCTGATTACAGAGTCGCACTGCCAAGCCCTCGACAAACTCAATCATCCAAACGGTTCGGCAAACGGACGAACCGTCCTGCAACTCTCAAGGCTCAGGAAAGCATCGACATTCAACAAACGGTTTGGACTCGATGAGGGTTTGGAACCAAAAGAACACGTTTTTTGGTTTGGTGCTGAATCTTTGCCAAACACATGGGACTCACCCTCCGATATAAGAGCCTTAATAATCAGAATAAGGCGTTGGATGCTTTTCTTCGTAAAGTTTTGGTAACGAACCTTACAGAATAATGCTGGTAAGTATTTATAAGAAATATGTGGGTGTATATATATATATATATATAGAAAAAATATATATTCACCTATCTATCATATGTATGTATGTATGTATGTATGTATGTATGTATGCATGCATGTATATATGCAT